CAGAAACGGATTTCGCGTCTAAAGAATCACCGGCCCAGTCTGCATCGCTGTAGATAGTCACTTGGAGCTTGGTGTCAATGTCTCGGCCGTACTTGTAGAGAAGTCCAAATGATGAAGTCCCTTTCAAATAACAAAGCACTCGCTCCACACCTAGCCAGTGACTCTGACGCGGACGAGCGACGAAACGAGCCAAGTAGTTGCAGCAGCCGTAATATCAGGACGAGTGCAGTTTGAGATCCAAAGCAGTGACCCAATTGACTTCCTTATAATGGTAGATTTGTCCATTATCGAGTCGTCGTCAAAAGTCTTGGAGTGATGACCAGAAGTCCGAACGGATTTGCATTCTGCCATGCTCATGTCGTGAAGCAGTGATTCAATCGTGTCGTGCTGGTGCAGCAGAATCCCGTCGTCCCCATGCTCAATAGTGATCCCCAGGCACTTGTTCGCGACCCCCATGTCCTTAATGTCAAGCTTCTTCCCCAATTCCCGCATTGCCCAGTCGCTGTCTGTTTCTTGCTCGCTGACGATAATCACATCGTCGACGTACAGTCCGAGTACGGAAAGCCTGTCATTTTGGCGACTGAAGTAGAGACACGGATCCACCTTGCTCCTACTAAATCCGAGCGACAGCAGGAACTCGTTGACCTCTTTGTTCCAGAGAAGACCGCTCTGTTTCAGACCGTAGAGCGACTTGAGTAAAAGCCATGCCGTGTGTTCGTCTTCAGTGGTACCTTCGGGAGGTTTCATCAGTAGCGGGCAATCCAGAGCCGCCTTGACGTAGGCGTTAGGCACGTCGCCCTGGCGCAGTTTTTCCGCCAAGCTGCAGCCAATGCCACCAGCAGTCGTAAGCTGGTGGTTTTAAGCACTGGTGAATACGTTTCATCGAAGTCGATTCCGTAGCGCTGCGTGAAGCCTCGTGCCACAAGACGAGCTTTGAAACGCTCTAGCTCGCCCCTGCTGCTGAACTTGATGCGGTATACCCACTTCGACGAAATCATCCTTGCTCCGGCTGGGGTTTGCACTACTTCCCATGTGCCATTCGCTTGGAGATCAGCCAGTTCTTTCTCGATAGCTTCCTTCCACTCTGGCCACTCGGGTGTCTTCTTTGCTTCAGCGATGTTTCTCGGCGTAACCATGGCTGTAGTAAGTTGAAGCGTGGCAGGTCGTGCTACGTCAGCGATCAGCTTCCCAGAAAGGGAGAAATCTGCCGTTTTTATCTTCGTCCGAGAGCCAAAAACACGGCGAATCGCTGCAGCACTGATGGGATGACCAGCATACTCGTCGTCACCACTCTCACTGGAACTCCTGCTGAATTCTTCTTGCTTTCGTTTCGGATTTTGCCTCGAGAGCAACACCATTCCAGTTCTGGTTGTACGATCCGGTGATGCTGCCTGCTTGAGTTCGGGCGCGCTATCAGCAGGTAGAGCAGGTGCTTCGACCCTGGACGGATCGTTGGCGGGAACTTCACTGGGATAACCTTCCGTAGAGCTGTTCTGTGAGTCTGCTTCCCCGTGCAACTGATCCAAAACGTCTTGGGTATCTGTCGTCGACAACTCCAACTTGTCCACGTTCTGAATGTCTGCACTCACGATTATCTTCTTCATGCGAGGAATGAAAACTCGATAGCCCTTTTGCTGATCGCTGATCCCGATGACGATCCCCGTTTCAGCTCGTTTCTTCAGGGAGGCACCCGTCTTGTGCACCACGTGGACTGTGCAGCGCGAGCCGAATCTCAAAATGTGCCCGACATTCGGCGGCCCATCCATGAGAACATCCAGCGGGGCTTTGTGGTCTGCATTCGCTCTGGTTGGAACGTGGTCTCTGATGTAAGATGCGTATCTTGCTGCATCTCCCCAGCAGCGTTCTGGCAATTTTGAAGCCACAGCATAGCGCGACCAGCGTTCATGATCGTGCGATGCATCCTTTCCACTTTTCCGTTCGAGGCGGAGTTGTCTGCTAGCGACGACTGCTGGCGAATACCATGACGCTTCAGGAAGGCGATAAGCTCATGACCAAGGAACTCTACGCCACCATCAGAACGGATTACCTTGATTGAAACGTCATACTGACACTGGAATTCGGGAATAAATTCCATCAAGTGCTTGGCGGCCTCTTTCTTTGATTGCAGCAGGTAAACACAATTGCAGCTGGAACCGTAGTCAACAATGGTTAGCATGTGCTTGTTGCCGTTTTTGTCTGGAGGCATGTCAACCTTCAAGTCAACTCCAAGTACTGCACCGACCTCGTCAGTAGGAGCTGATTCTGAGGTATCTTCTGTGGGCTGAGGGTTTCTCGTCTGCTTCGCTTCGTTACATGGCAGGCAGAATCGTAGTTTCTTTGAAATAACCTCCATGTCTTTTGCCAGTCCTTTTAAGTGCATCCGAAGCAAATCATGAAAGTTCATGGGGCCAAGACGCTCATGCCATTGTTGCAGCGTCGCCTTCGACACATCTACGAACATTGCAGCAGCACCTTCGGTAGAATTTGCCGTCTCGCCGTCAAGGATCCACAGCTTACCACGACGCTCAGCAACAGCCACTCACTTGCCTCTTTCGTCCACTAGTTTGCACTGTTTCTTGGCAAAGATGCTGGTGATCCCATGCGCACCGAGTTCCGTCACAGAGAGCAGGTTGCGTTCGAGACCAGGAACGAAATGAAATTCTTGCAGCAATACGACAGAAGCACCATCGTCGTTGCACACACGCAGGATACAGCTCCCCTTAATTTTCGCACGAAGTACACCACCATTTGCCACAGTAATCACCAGGTCAGAGGGTGACGTCCCGAAAAGCACGTCTCCACTCGAGCACATGTGATGAGAGACTCCAGAGTCAACCAGCCAGCTAGATTGCAATGCTGGTTCTCCGAGCGCTCAGCTGAGACCATCCACAGGTCAGCATCCGCGTCACCGTCGTCATCACCTTGGTTGCCGAGTGTTTTGGCCTGGTTTCCCGTTCTCATTTGCGAGTTCTTCTTCGGGTTCAAGCAGCTGTCTGCCTTGTGTCCCTCCTCTCCGCATATTCAGCAGCTGAACTTTCTGGTAGTGATGTTCGCTTGACCATTCTTGGCTTGCTTCTCGTCAGCCGATTGATGTTTACTGCTCTGCTTCGCCTTGGCCTGCGAGCTAGCGCTGCCTGGCGTTGTTGCGCACCCTGTTTGCCTTGTTGGCCGTTACTACCACCAGCTTTGCTCTGCTGTTGACGAGGTTGACCGCCTTTGGCTCCCTGTTTGTTGTGGCCAGTTCGGCGACCATCTCCTTGTAGACGAATCAGGAAGTTTACTACTTTGTCGAGTTCATCCATGCAGTTTGTACTGCTTTCGTCAACTTTGCTGAGTAAAGTCGATCTTAATTCCGGGCAGGCATTGTTGCACACGGTCTCCAGCAGCAACTGCGATCGATCTCCCTCTATGAGCCGCTCGATGAACTTTAGGTATGTGATATGATCCTTCCAAGTATCACCAGCGCGCTTGTTCGCATCGAGACGCTTGCCCGGATCGTACTGACTCAGACGGCAGCCAAACTCCATCTTCAGATGCGCTGTTAGCTCCTCATAGGAGACATCTCGCTTACCGGCGAGCTCATGATAAACGTGTGCAGCCTGGTCTTCCAGGAAGGTCTCCAGCACCGAGGCTTTCAGCTCGCTCGACATCGGCGACTTGTTGAGCAGTCGCTCCATGCGGACGCCATTTTCAAACTCGATGAAGAAGTCTTCCACACCAGCACCGATTATAAAGTACTTCTCTACCCTCGAAGCGACGGCACCGAATGTCCTTCAATTGGGGGGGGGGTTCTCGACGATAAGATTTAGGATGCCGGCAACTTCTTGTGGCTCGGATCCAGAAGGATTCGCAGCAGTCGACACGACAGCTGCTTTAGGTGGAGTTTGTGGCACCACTGTATTAGTACCAGTGGCTTTCTGCTCCGTCGCTACGCCAGTTCCAGCCGTGACAGCAGGGATTATGGCGGGCATTTTCTCTTCAGCAGGATCGTCTTGACTTCCGGTCGACTCCGGTTGGGCTGTAGCTTGCTGCTGGTTCCTTTAGGAGCCTCTTCTGCATACTGACTATCATCATTGCATCTTCAAGACGTGCTGTCAACATCTCAACCATGTCGTGGTCTGACATGAGAGAGGAGCGGATAGAAGGTGTAGTTCTTCTTGACGCTTGCTCTGATGATATTAGACGGTAGCTCTCCGGCGTACCCATGCGTCTCTCCGTTGGCGATCCAGGCGGCGTCTGCAGCTCCTCACGCTGCATGTGTTGACGGTGGAGCTCACTGTGAACCTGACGCAGCACTCCTCGATGTGCACGCTCGGCGCGTGCGGCGGGTGGCCCCGCCTGCGGACTATCCAAGTCCGTAAAGTCAAGACGTCCGGATACTGACATCTTCAGTTGGTTTCCTCCTTTCTCGGCTACGGCGTGGGCTCAAAACCTGTTGCACTTCCAGAAACCGCAGGAGAATTCGCCGATGGGGAACCAGCTACTTGAGTGGTAGATAGAAAATCTGAAAGTGAATTGAAAGTCGTTAGCTTCTTTCTAGCCCTGCTACTTCTCGCAGTCTACTCCAAAAGCCTAGCGATTATACAGGTCATACAAATACCTTTGTTATCAGTGCTGGCGCGATCGCGAGTCCATCCACAGGAGAACGTCGACTTGATTGGCTCGTTCATTCCCAGCCACACCGAAGTCCTTGTCGCTTACCGTCGTAACTTGTTGGTGCTTGATTCCAATGTCCAGCGCTTTCAGCCACACGATCGCCACCTCCAGCTCGTGGAAAGTGGCTAGCTTTTGCTAAATCCAACATGCCACACCCGACGAGGTCGTCCAGATCGTCAACTACATGTACAGTGCAACGGATGGCTAGGTAGTGCATCAACAACGCGTTCATGTCTTAGTTATGCAGATCTATCATTGGTCAAAAAAGCGTTGAAAACTACGTAGTATGTTCTTTGATTGGCTCACTCCAACTTTAAGAGCACTTGACACGAGAGTAGTTGTGCATGGCGTCTTCCTACAACCTGGTGCAGCCACCGTCCTCGTCCAGCGTGCGCTTCAATGACATTTATATCCGTTCCTCAAATCAAATCCCCATAGACTTATTCCCGTCTTGTAATTCTTTAACCCCCTGTGCAGGCGCCTTACCTTGCTCCTCCGTCGCCGCCAGTCCGGGTACGCGTCAATTCTTTTCGAGATGACTAAACGACCACCGTAACTTCCCGTATTTCAATAAATGTTGGCTACAGGAAATTAAGTTGTGGACTGACACCAAGGATCGACGCAAGTACGAGGATTTGGCAGACCTGTTCGCCATCTTTAAGACCACGGAGCACCTTGAAGCTGCCTACGTTCGCGATGCCATCACACCCGAGGAGGTAGGATTACTAGCAAGTAATACGCGAGTAATCTGACCGTGGTTTTTTAATGTTTGTAGTACACGGAAGCGTGCACAAAGCTCATCTCGCAGTACAAGACAGCGGAGACGGCGCTGCGGCTGGGCGGTTTCATCGACAGCGTGGAGAGCTTCATCGCCGAGTACAGATTGGACTGTCCACGAGCATTGGAGCGTCTCGTACGTATCGGTGTGCCGGCCACTGTGGTGCACAACACGACAAACCGCAAGACGGACTCGGTCAATGTGGCCCAAACCGTGCAGAACTTCATCACGCTCATGGACGTTCTCAAGCTCAATATCCGAGCTGTGGACGAGATTCAGCCGCTGCTGAGCGAGATGATGAGCTCGTTGACTATGGTTAGCGGTCTGCCTCCGGACTTTGCTGGTCGTGACAAGATCGAGGGCTGGCTGCGAACGATGAACGCCATGCGTGCTTCCGAGGAACTGGACGAAGAGCAGGCCCGTCAACTCAGCTTCGACCTCGAGCGCGCCTACTCGTCCTTCATGGCTTTCCTAAACAAATAGCATCAATAGTGGTACACGTATCATGGCTCAGATACCTTGGAATTGTTTTATTGTGGCGTTTTCTTTTTTTCATTTTTCGCTTACTTTTTCTTCCCTATAAGAAACAATACAAAAATATGACGCACACACTTGCGAAGATAATGAAAACCTCGTGGGTGCGTGCATCATAGCGCATCTGCGATCAAATATTAGCAGCAAAGAATCAACTCCTCTTCCGGCTCCAAATTCAGCTTTGATAAATTGGATTCCGCTTCTCCACTCAGCAGCATGCAACGAGCCATAGCTGCGTCAAGCTCCGACTGCATCGCATCCAGTTCATCCAACATCGAGCGCAGATCAGCGTTGCTCACCTGCTTAAGACGCAGGGGGCTCAGTGCGATCAATTTCTTTTCCGGCTTGGAGATCGGCTCCAGCTCAATGTCCATGAGGAAATTCGGCTCCAGAACAACTGTAGCTGGCAGCGGCGTAGCTTCCTGCGGTACCATAGTCGGTGACAGCGGTGGGAAAGCTGCCATCGAGGGAGCAAAGTCTTCCGGCTCGAGTTCGAGCTCCAGTGTCTGCTCCTTTTTCGTCTCTTGCTCTAATTCCTGATCCTCCATATCCGTCACCGACTCACCTTCTGGGCTCAAATAAAGCAGCACTTTGCGAGTGATAACCAGCTCTCGCTCCAGTACTGGTTCGCCACGAGCCACTTCCACCAAAGGTTTCGCCACCGAAAACACCGGCAACGGGGCCACAGCCGGCGCGACCGGCTCCACAACGACGCTCGCAGAAGAGCGAGCAGCCTCCACCGCTTTAGGCTTTGACAGCTCCACAGCTTTTGCCTTGGGCGACACTACCGGAGCAACAGCTGTTGGTTCAGCCTTGAAAAGCACTGTGGGCACTTGCATCGTCTTCCTTGCTGCAATCTTGGGAGCCTTCACCTCAGCATTTTTTCTCTGGAGCTGAGGCTTCGTCTGCGTCTTTGTCTGCTGCAATTGTGGTGTCTTCTCTTGTTTGTCCAGCGACTTTGACAGCACCAGTGTTTTCTTCTCCTGCACCTCCATTTCCTTCTTCCCCTGCATCGCTATATCTGGTTGCTGTACTTTCGGCTTCAGCGGCAGTAGCGGTCGAGTTTGCAGCACCTGCTTTGGCTCCGAGTTCGCTCGAGGTTTCTCCACGTACAGATCTGCGGTGGTTGCCACTGAGTGCGATTTGATCGTCGGCAAAGGTTTCATGTCCACGCACTTCAGCGTCGCAAGTGGACCATTGCTCGCGAGAGGGTTCGGCTTGCTCTTCTGCTTGATCTTTGCAGTGTTTTCTGCTTTCACTGCCATTGTTATAACAACTCGCTGTGGCGTGGGACTCGACGGCACCACTGCTATTTCTACGAGTTCCTTCTTCTTCTGTTGGTATTGCTGACTCTGCGCTATTGACAACGTCAGCGAGTAGTCCAACGCACTACGTCGTAACGCCAGCAGCCTGATAATGGCGTGCTTGAGTCCCATCGCCTGCTTGGTGCCCTTTGGATCGTCATGATGCAGCAGCACGAGACCTAGCGCCACCAACACAGTAGTGCAGAAGAGCAACGCACCACCGAACACGTAGCCGCCGAGAACCATGGCCACCACGAGCTGGAGCACCCCGACGGCTGTCACGAGGCCACCTACGTGGAAAGTCGGCGCCTCGCAGTGCACGTCGCCAGTGAGAGCATACGGGTCGCGCTGCTGCTGCTGCTTGAGCCGACGTTGCGTCTTGGTACTTGCGCGTTGCCGCATGTTTGAGAAATACGAGCGAGCCGGTCGGTCCCTGTCTGGCAGTTGTCTTCTCCTGCGTGTATTCTTGAGTTGTAGATACTAGCAGTGAGCAGCCCACGTAAACTGACGCTATGTGGACGCCACCGACTAGTTAGGAAAGCGCTGCGATAAGCTCTGCGATAGTCGAGCGAGCGCCTAACGAAGAGCTTTCCGATTGCTTTTTGCCGAACGGTTCGAGTTTTCCCCACTACAGTACTGAACGAAGAGCTTTACATGTAATATCGTCGGTCGTTGCTCATGCCATTTCTTTCACGAGATGGCCAGTCTCTGAACAATGCTGACAACCGCGACCCAAATTATACATGTAACTTAGGAGATGTGATGTTTTCATAATTAAAGTGTACTTCGAAGTATGTAGTTTACCAGACACGTGGAACCAACTGCCAAAAAAACTATGTATTCGTCTCGTAACTGATAGTTACAATAAGCTATGCATTGACCATTCTACATCATGGTGTCCGCATGTGGTAGGCTGAACTTGGATCGAAATACTTCAAGAGTGAAATCGTAGCTTGTCATGGTTACTGCTGCTGTGGATCCTTCCCAAGTTCGCCCTTTACAAACGTTAACACCTCACTTGAAAGAGGTGGCTATCGCTTAGAAGGAGCTGCATCTACGGTACATGCATTATTAATAGCTTTCAAGTCGCGTACGGGCACGTTCCGCTTTCTTCTGTTCAAAAAATTTAAACTAATAGTTTATTCCCTTTTTCGACAATCGGGGTGTTTGGCCGACTTTTCTGTTCCTTTTTAGAAACCACCAGCGACGATGTACAGTACGGACGATGGTTGGGGTGGACTGACAAAACCCACCAAGTTGGGGACGTGAAGGCGAAGGTGCTGCTAACTTTTGGCAGAGGATTTGGAGAAATTGAGAAGCCAGCCCACCAACGTGAAAATGGCTTGTAACGGTCGTTACTGTGTACTTGTATGTACCGGTATGGAGAAAACACCAAGGAGTCAGAATGAGACTCGTCTCTTACGACAGGACAATTGCAACGCGGCGACGCGGGACGATCGCCATGGTGGCGGCCATCACTTCGCTGCCGATACCAACGCTCGCTTACGCTAGCGAGAGATTGTTCGCTGCGACTGGAGTCAACCAACAGCAGTTGTTTTGGCAAGTTCCGCCCTAAATATCCACTTTGGTGCTCTCTGCAACAGAATTCTGAGCACGAAACTTGGGCAGCAGGAAGTTTACGCCGCGACGGTATTTCTCATGGTCCTTCATGCCATACGCAGTGCCACCGGCCATGCAGCGGAGCGGCTGTTGCGACGATGTGAGTCTGGTCTTGTTACGGATGAAGCAGCTATCGACAAAGCCTTTGGAGCAATACTCGGGGTATGGTTGCCACTCGATCAGAGACTCTCTAATCCCGGTACCGGGGACACACGCTTCTTGCTCATTTAAATTTCGTTGTCCGTACGGGCAGTATAAAATCGCAACGCGTATTAATACTTGCCGCTGTTAATTCGCGGCGGGGTGGCGGAAGTTTCAACAAGCAAGCGTCAGTTGCTTGTTGAAACTTACCTGGTGTTTTTATGGACAAAACCAAGAATTTCTTATTGATTGGTTTAAAAGCACGAAACCAGTCCACTTTGTGCCCAATTCATGGAGAAGAGAGAGAGAGTTTACGAAGCTGCAGGGCTGGCACTCGTGCGCAGCGCTGAAGGCCGAACGCGCTGGGTCTCGTACGCCCCACACGGCAACTCACCGCCACCACCTATTGAGCTGTGTCATAAACCTACTCCTTTATGTGGACTGGACTTCGACGCTTCCGATACCACGCATTTCGAACTTGTGCAGCCCAAGTGTGCTCCGCCAGCGCAAAACTTGCTAATTTTTCTGCATGGCAGAGGTGGCTCACACGAGCCGTTTGCTCGACTTGGAGAGAAAATGGCACTTCCCCAAACAGGTTCGGTGGTGTATTAACTCCCTTGATCTAGAGCCACCATGGAACTGACAGACACATTTGTTTTCTCTGCAGCGGTGATCTCACTCCGCGCACCTCGAGAGCTTCCGTTCGGCTTGGGATTCACGTGGATCGATGACGTGGACGCCAATGGCGACGTAATCTCGCCAGATACTCCACACAAGCAGCGCAGTGACAGTCTTCAGATGACACGGGACTACTTGTGGAACTACCTTCAAGTGCTGCATGACCAGTACGGGTGGAATTACTCTCGACTCTTCGTGTTTGCATTTTCCCAAGGAGCCTGTGTGGCGTTCCACTTGGCGATGACTATACCACGCGATGTGCGGCTAGGAGGCATGGTGCTTGTGTGTGGAGGGGCAATTGAGGGTCCACACTGCTCTACTCATCTTCCAGACGCTGCCGCCACGCCAATATTGCAGGTCACAGGTGCACTAGACGATATTTACCCGACAGCGCTCGCCGTACGTACGCGGCGCGAGTTCAAGAAGAGATATCCACAGAAAGATGCAGAGCTTTTCACGAGCTTGGTGAGGCCACACAAGGGACACGCAATGATTGACTCTCGCGAGGACATGAAGCATGTGATGTTCTTCTTTTCCAAATACTTGTACCTATGCAACATTGAGCTGGAGAACCGCAACGACTTTATTGAGATCCAAGTGCCAGCAATTTCACCGTGAATATCATACAGAAATTTCTTCTGGGCAGAAACGCACCGATTGGATGGAACAGCAGCCGAGAAATTTCCATAATACATATAATAAGTACTGAGATCTGGGTTAGAGGATGGGAAGTGTGAAAAATATAGTATTTTATATTTGTAAATATTAGTAGCTCTTTGTTTCTCACCAGTTCTTATACGAGCACCAGTTTGCTATTTATGCTGCGTCGTCAGAGGCCAACCATTGGCTGATAACATTGCTTTACTATGCGTGACTTATAGTTTGTATCTTTAACTCAAGCTTAGCCTACATATAAATACATTCGGCTTACAACTTATCTTAAACCGGTCACTTCGCTCCCTTCGACAAAAGGGATGTGACGGGGCCACACAGCACCTTGCACAGAGGTAGTGCTTAAGGGTATTAGCTACCCGAGTGGACGTTAGTCCACGTGTTCCCGGCCTCAATGGAAACGGTTTGCTACTTAGAAGAGTAGATATAAGACTGATGTATTTATAAGTAAGATAGGCTTGGGTCTCATACAAACTAGAGGTTTCCTATAGTGGAGCTAAGTAGTCATGCACTGACTGTCTCCGAGGGCACCTGGTACCGTGTACCAGGTGTCCACAAGAGTGACGGGTCACTCTTTATGTAACATGGGGCACACTGGATTGTACCCCGTTACATCCTCCCGCACGTAACTGAGAATCACCTGATTCTCCAATCACAACTGATTCTCCAATCAGAAGTGAGAGAATTAAAACACCAAAAGGTGAATTCTCACACTGAGCAGCCACAAGACTGTCGCGGCTCTCAGTCACGCCCACAGTAACTTGTGCTGCCAAAGATCACTGGGATTTGCATCCCTATGTTCACAACTGTGTTGGCCGCAAAGCCTACACTCAGAGCTGCATTAGCTCTTGCGCTAGCGCGCGTACAGTGCTTTGGCACAGGGTGTAATAGCATCCGAACGTGTGGCATTCGCCCACAGTTCGCACCAGAGGACACGACAGTCCTCGCGAACGCGTCCGGAGCATGGTGTCACCCGCGAGGGACGGCACCGAGAAGGGCAACACCTTCCTCAGCACTAGAGGGAGCTCTCCGCTCTCCTCAGGTCATGCCTTAGGCTCCAGCAAGGATCCATCCTTGCGGGCGGAGCTTCTGCCACGCTCTCTTCGCGTCTTGGTCACCATACCAACGGCGCGTAGGTGTCCTTCATCGACACCGTGTACCGTGACGGTACACAACCGTGGTGTAGGTGTCTCCCATCGACACCATGTACCGTACGGTACTAACCTTTGGTGCGGTACGCCCACCACAAGGCTGCCATGTTTAGCGACAACAGCTTCTGCTGTGCTGTTGCCTGAACAAATTCATGGCCAGTGCTCCCATCATGCACGACGCATGAGCAAGCACAGTGTACAGATCCATGGGCCCACGAGGTACGCTGTGTACGTCACGTACCACAGCTACCAAACGTGCTCCGTGCACGTCATGTGTGTCATGCACGACGAGTTCATTACGTGGAACTCCTGCCAGGCTGCTCGACAGCAGCCAGTGCCGATGCACGGTACGTGCGTTGACTCACAGCGTCCACAGCGCATCGGGTCGCGGTTTGGTGCATATACTTTGCACCTATACCAGTGTCTGTCACAGACACCATGTACCTTGATACTCGACCGCGGTGGGGCATATATCACCACCATGCCATTGCGGCGTTGGTGTCTGGCATTGACACCGAGTACTCACGGGTACCAACCCATGGTGAGGCAAGCTGCCATCACCACGGTGTCATGCTCGGTGCGACACCAGTTACGACTGCGTGCCTTGCCTCGACCACCACCTGGTCAGTTGTGTGTGCACTCAAGCACCACACTTGGGCTTGGCTCCACGGCCCATAATACCCGGCGCGTTGCGTACATCACGTACCGCAACCGCTTTGTCGGCGGGTGAGACGTTCCGTTCACCCTACTCGACAGGTCGCTCATGACCAAGGGACCAGTGCGGTGATTGCACTAGACCCGCGCTTCGCCTCGTGTGTGGTTGCTTGCAACCCCAACACTGCTGATTCGCTCAGCGATTCCGAGGCACCTTGCGCCAGTGGCTTTTTTCGCCACTATGTCTTGTTCGGCTAGAGCTACCGCAGCTCTAGCCCGGCTGTTCGCCTCCAGCCTGCAGTCGATGTACATCGACGCCTGGTTCCGTAAGGAACTTGGTATTACCTCAAGACCAGGGAGGAAAGGTATTTCCGATCCTCTCCACCACTTACACTTGAGACTATTGAGTCTCTCGTGGCTTGTGATAGCCACTGGTAGCACGACGGCTACCTGCCTCTTGGAAAGTCAGGGAGGAAAGGTATTTCCGAGACCCCCCCCCCACACTTAACCTCGAGACTACTGAGTCTCTCGTGGCTTCTAATAGCCACTGGCAGGCGCGACGGCTCTCCGACCTGTGCACGGCGTCGGTATGGACGACCGCGTCGTCCGTGTCGACCGAAGGCATCCAGCCTTCGCGTCAGCAGTTTGAGTCTGCACGCCTTGACGTCGAGCGAGTTGCCCACGTCTGGCGAAGCCAAGACAACCTCGCGCCTCGAGCCCATGGCTCTGTGTGCGGAGCTATGTTACCCGCCTTGGGTGTAGAACTCTGTTACCCACCTTGGTTGTGTGGAACTCTGTTACCCACACCGGAAGCGCATACAGTGACTTCCTTATCAGTTATGGTCTGAGTGACCTTGCGTGGAACTTTGTTACCCACGCTCGGAGCACCGAATGTCGGTCTCCTTAAGCAGCTTCGCTGCTTGCGGAACTTGCTACCCGCAATGTGGACCTAAGTTACCCACCTGGTTAGCGCTTAAAGGCATAACCACTGTCGAAGCCCGTACGGCGCGACGACCTTCGGCGTTGGACGCTGCTGGTGTAGCAGGTCCACACGCCGGGCAAAAGACCCACGCCCGTGGCATTGCCGCAGCAGAGCATGGTCTTGCTGTACGCAGAGCTGTCGGCGCGTTGACAGCTCCGTGGCGCTTCTGCGTCCTGGCGGTCTGTATCAGACGCCCCAGTCATGACGGAGGTGGGAACATGACTCGCCAATGCTCCGTCATAGACCTGGACTGGTAGGTTCTTCTCAGCCTTGCCACACCAAAGTCCGGGCTGTGCCTTATGTTCGGCACAGCCATGTTGTTCATGGCGAGAACTGCGAGCGACACCGCGGTGCGCGAGTTCATCGAGCCGAAACGTTCAGGTCCGCTGAGGACCATTGGTACTTCCTTCACCGTACCAAAGGCTAGTCCACCAAAGACAAGCTCACGACCGCCACCCTGACATAGAGTGCAGTCGGGTGTTGCTATGCCAAGCGACGTTCCGGCGGCGTATCAGCGCCCAAGAACCCATCAAACGTTCAAGGGGTACCGTACCCCCGTACACCGAGTGTACTACCAGCGGCCCATCACTGCCCTTCACCGGTTTGAAAGATCAACGTCTCTCTGGGCTAAGTCCCGTGGTGTGCACAACCTGCACACCCATCACAAAGGCTTAGCGCTCTTCAGTAGGGCATACTGCCTCTACTGGTGGCCGGGGAGTTTCCGTCCACCTGGCCGTGGCCTGCGCCACCGGACTTGGAGTCCACGGGTTGTCCTCTTCCCGAGGACAGGCGAGGGACACACACGCTGGTAGTGTCCGTGCCCGCCGCATCCATAGCAGCGGACCAAGCTCTCGGCTGAGCTTAAGTCCATGGGTTCGGGCTCGCTGTACGCACCGGCATCAACGGGCTGCGTGACAGCAGGAGCAACAGCGTCATTGCTGCGATGCTCCGCCTCCCGAGGAACGCCATACTCATCGTGGCGATGTTCCTCTTCCTGAGAAGTACCAGCCTGTTTGTAGCTGTACACTTCTTGGAGGGCAATTCAAATCGCCTCCTCCATAGTTGTCGCTTGCACCCGGAAAAGCTGGGTGCGAGCAGGACCGACCTTCAGGCCGTCCATGAAGACTGTTGTCTTGACGTCTTCAGGCAGAGGATTCCCTGCCAGAGATGCCACCAACGTGCGCATCTCTTGCGCGTACGCCTGCAGCTCACGTTTACCTTGCTTACACGCAAGAAAGCGTAGGCGCTGGCGGAACACATTGTTCGCCGGTAGGAACGCGGCTCGAAGCTGCTCACACAGCTGAGCCCAGGATGCAAAACATCCAGGAGATGTCGTCTCCCTGGTGTATGCCCAGTGCGTGGCACGTCCACCAAGGTTGGACAGCGCAAACGCCACCCGAACTGGCTCGTCCGAGATGAGACCCGCCTTCATGGCGATCTCCACCTCACGGACCCAGAAGTGAAGGTTCTCTCCTTCCTCCCCCTCAAACGCGGGGACCTTCAACCACACCGGCTTAGGCCCGGTTGCCTGGGGAGCGGCCATCGTGGCCTCCAAGATCCCGCGGACGTGAGCGATGAGACCACGCTCGTAGGTCTCAAACGCGGTCACGCCTTCTTGCTGCTCGGCAGTCGTCGCCGCCGCCAAGCTCCGAAGGACATCTTGTCCAAAGATGCCTCCCCGCTTCCGAACAGACTCGTACTGTGAGTCGTTCAAGCGAGGAAACTCGCTTCGGTCCATCTTGACTCAACCGTTGAGCGCACAGAGGATTCAGGTAGTTCAATCTACCCGTGATGGTGTCGGATCGACTACGAGCGCTATTATGTGTGACGGGGTCACACATCACCTTGCACAGAGGTAGTGCTTAAGGGTATTAACTACCCGAGTGAACGTTAGTCCACGTGTTCCCGGCCTCAATGGGAACGGTTTGCTACTTAGAAAAGTAGATTTAAGACTGATGTATTTATAAGTAAGATAAGCTTGGGTCTCATACAAACTAGAGGTTTCCTATAGTGGAGCTAAGTAGTCATGCACTGATTGTCTCCGAGGGCACCTGGTACCGTGTACCAGGTGTCCACAAGAGTGACGGGTCACTCTTTATGTAACATGGGGCACACTGGGTTGTACCCCGTTACAAGGGACCTGTGAATTACAGCTCACTGAGAGTTTTTTCCTCTCGGAAGCCGCCTTCCTCAAGCGTAAGGTACTGTGTGACCCCGTCACATTGTAGCAGTCCTCTTGGTATTGTCCCG